CTTAATCTGGAAACCATTTGAGGCTAGACAATAGGCAGACACTCAAGCAAGAAATTCATCACTGGGTAGAACTCTCTTTTTACTTGCTGACTTACTGAGTAACATTTATGGAAATAAACTTAGCAGAATATACTGTATGTTGAGTTACCAGAATGGATGCTGCCTGCTGGCTATTGCAGTCATTCTTGCTGACATTACCCTTTTTCTATCAGATTGGCTATGTAACTCCCAGTGTTTTGTGGTAGAGTTTGCCTTACAAGAGGAGCTCTTGCTGAAGGGAAGTTGGAAAACAGTAAGGCATGATGTCAACAGAGGGACATCACCTCACACAGTGTCCGCTGCTCTGGTGGGGGGTGGGGAGCTGTTTATGGCAGTGCATGTAATAAAAAATACTGTACTTACTAGTCTCAGGCAGCTGCAGCAGAAACTTTAAGGGTTCCCTGTAATGTTCGATGAGTATGATTCCTCCCCCTGCAAATTACTGCCCATCATTTGCACATGTCTGCATAGCCTGGTTTTCAGGCCATCGGCATTGGCTACACGGCAGCTGAGAGGTACGAGTGCAGCATGCTGAGACCTACCAGGCTAGCTTTAATCTAATTAGCTTGGATAACAATATTAGAGAAGATGTGATAGAATGAGTTTCAGTAAATAAATGTGAAAGCCTGCTAGGAATCATCAGGACATCCCTAGGTGGCCAGCAACAACAGTGTACAAATTTTAAAACCTCTTCCCAAGAGCTATTGAAGCAATGGCTTGGCAGTTGCTTCAAAGCCCCAAATCATCCCACAGATAGTTTATAGCTTTCCCTGTAAAACAATGTAAAAATATTATATAAGTGAACTGCTTGTCAAGATAAAATATTAGGTGGAAAAAAAGTTTTATTTTTTTTCTCCATGGTTTCCTAGTCTTTAAAGATTTGCACACACTCATTATTGTGACTCCAGCCAATCCCTCTGTGTCAGTTGGCTTCATCACATCTGTCACATCTGTCAGAGCAAGGTTCTTCTGTCACATCTGTCAGAGCAAGGTTCTTCTGTCTTCTTACTGCTGCCTATGGGGTTCCATTACTGGTAGCCTGAATATCACCATTTGTGTTCTTGAATGGTAGAAGAGTAACTAACACAAGAAGGTTAAATTGGCTCTGGGTCCTGCGTCACTGCGTGTTCTTTTGTGAAGAGGAGATGGTCCACTGGTGAAAAATTAGAGGATTAACTCAGAAGTAGAAAAGGTAATTGGAAGACAAAAGCTGGTTCCTGAACCAAAGGGTATAGACATTCAAAGCTTTAAAACTGAAAGATGGTCCTGAGAGGGAATAGTAAATGAAGTTATGCAAACAGTGTTAGGAAAAAGATTGATCATTATTTTCAAAATAAAGAAATATACTTGTGGGGGAGGGAAGAAGATGTCTGAAAAGCAGGTACTTGCTCAGTCCACAAGGTGCATCTTTCTGGTACAGCTTTATTATATTGTTTGGTGAATAAGCATTATCAGACAGGAGCATCATCCCTTACTTTTGCTGGTTTATGGCAGCAAAAGCAACATCTCTCTAGTTACAACCCTTACACTAGGACCACTTTAACTGGACTGGAAAATGTGCTCTGTGTACATGTCCAGGCAGTGCTTTATGAAATACCAGTGCATGTTAGTGTTAGGACTGCAGAGGGAATAGCATAGATGGGCTCCTCCTGGCACAAGTCAGGCTTTGTAGGGGTAACAGGCAGTCATTGGCAAGGCTTAGTGAATACTGGGAGGACACCACCCTAATCAGGGGATCCTTCAGATAAGATTGTATTCTTCCTGCTCCTGCTTGAACTCACAGAGAGGCCTTCTTGGGCCTTGGAGACAAAATCCTGGATGCTATGATTTGCCCATGATTTACAGTAATACAGAGGTGCTTTGTGTTTAAACATAGGATGGGAGTTCAGGAGCCTCATTCTGAAACAGATTTTCTGTGTAGCCTTAAACATTTAATCACTCCTTGTTTTCTCATCTGTACAACAGGGATAATAATGTTTATCAACCATGAAGGGGGCTGTAAGGCTAAATTAATATTGTAAAGTCTTTTGATTCTCTTAGATAAAAGGTTTTCTAGAAGTATGAAGCATAGTTGTTTATTATCTGCATTTTTTGTCATATTTTATTCCTACTTTATCAATTCTACTGCAGCTTTTTCATCATAATTATCTATTCTAATCATCTCATCTGTGTGAGAAATGAGAAATTGATAACAACTGGTGATTGCAAAGAAAGTAATGTTTGAAAAGACTGGTCTAAATGTATAAATTTTGAGTGTACTTCCTCATAACAGGTATATGGAGCTTCTTGGTCAATGTTTCTTTTCTTTGGTGACCTTCCAGTATGGTCTCTACTTCTTTATATACTGTTTAAGGTATCCATAAGCTTATACAAATGGACAAGGATATGCACTTCTGGTATTACAATTTAACTTCTGATTGTATTTTTTATTCAGTCTATTTTAATCCTGTTCCTCTCTTGCTGACTTTTCTTCTATTTGACAGCTTTCTTTTCCCTTCACCCTGAAGAATCCTGAATCCACCAATGAAGAATCATTTCTATACACTGTCATTTCTCTTTGCTATTTTACTTTTTTTTTCCCACAATGAGACAGGGTGGATGGATAGTGTGCTGTGCTGGATATCAGTACAGTGCACCTCAGGTACACTGAAACCATTTGACTTCATCTTATGTCCTTTCTAGAATGTATTTTCTTGCCCTTTGCATTGAGCTGTGACAGGAATTTGGCTAGATTTTGTCATGTGTCTGAAGCAGTGTGCAGTAAAGTGCTTCCAGAACATCTGATGCTACTGTTGCAGTGTTCAGCAGCCTACTGAAAGTGTGAGATAAGAAGTAGATTATCTAACACCCAAATACTGAGACTTTAGATAAGGATTGATTTAAATGTATGTATCCAATCTGTGAAAAGTGGTGGCACTGCAAAAAATGAAATTATAGATTGCATTGTAGGTAAATTCTATGGTGTAATCACTTCTTATGAGTGCAGTTTCCAATACTTACTTCTATATTCCTATTTTTCTACTCCTTACTATTTCTTAGATAAATTTGGATTAACTTTTTTATGCCTCATTGCTTTACCCTAGTAATTTCCTGAATTTCAAAAATGTCATTGAATGTGTCTTTGTTAAAAATAATAATAAGCTATTAAGCTAGCTTATTCAACATGCTCAAGTCAAAAGATATGTACAATCATTAGACTGCAGTGAATGAATGGATTTTGTAGGAAGGCAGCTTGTTCATTGGAATTTGTTGAGCTCTATAGAACAAGCCAAGTTGAATAAAGAATATATATTCAATGACTTAGAATTTATAAAATCTGAAGGGCTTCTTGATGAATGTGGAGGATGATTTTCTCTGGTCTGTTTACAGCTTAGACCATTAGAACAAAGGTTGTCTGTAAATGTTAACATGGAATTTTCTGAGGCCTGACCCCTAATTCTGCTTCAGAAGGAGATGGGAAAAGAGGTTAAGAAATTCTAAGACTAATTCTGGGATTGATTAAAATGTTGATTTATTTAATCTTACTAAAACTGTTTCTGTGAAAGTCTTACCTTGCAAATTCATAATATTTATAAATTTAAAATTGCCTAATCTTTATAATACAGTATAGAAAACTAGTGGCCAGATTTTGATCAGAATGTGTCCCACACATCATCAGGTTCCTCTTAGTAGATAGTGGTAGTAGACAGGTGATGGCCAATGTGACAGCAGTGACTAGGAAGTGCCTCATCCTGCATACTGCTTTACACACGAAAGAAGTGGCTTGAAAAGAAACTAAGGAAATTAAGGAGCATTGCTTAAACCAGGAAATGAGTCAGAGAACCAGCTGAGCTTCTAGGTGTTGCAGAACATTTTCCCTTTTGCCACTGAGCAGCATTGCTTCCAGCCGTAGCCCCACACTCACCAGGGCTGGTACTCTCCACCTCAGAGACAGCAGTGGTGGAAATGCTGTGCTCCGTGCATAATTCTGTGCTTTGCTTATATAAACGGAAAATGTGATGATGGTTTATTCTGCTGAATTTGGACATAGGCATGCAAGATGCCAACTTCTGTGAGACATCCCCTGGGACGTTAATGTAGCTTAATGACCAGACATGGTATGACCTGTGCTTCCAAGTAGTTCAGTGGCATTTAACTGATTAAAGTGGCGTGAAACTCTTGTGCTTTCGGTCTTACAAAGCAGGTCTTTACCGAAGGATTAACACTTAAGTTCACATTTTATTGAATATTTATGAGATTTTGCTGAAGTCTTAGAAGCCTTCACATTTTAATGCAAGCAAGGCTGAGTGTTGAATGAGTGAAGAAAAGTGGGGTATATGGGATATTTCATCCTCCTGATTTCTATATATTCTGATTTCTATAGATTGTTCCCCGTGCAAAAAAAAAAAAACCTCAAAACATTCTACCAAGTAGACAGCTCCTTTTCTCTTTGACTGAGTTTCCTTTCTTTTGTCACCTAGGAGTTATGAAAGTATTTCTGTGATTTGACTGAATTTTCCTGGGAATATTTCCAGATTAGAGTGAATATAGGTGCTTTGCTTGAATACTTTTAATTTATAATGCTTGCATATTTGATATCTATTAAATATAAATTCATAGGTGAGTGAAAAAACTTTACTTGGGTTGTAGTTTCTGTCATTAGACAAGGTTTTGTTTTTGATATGACTGCAATAGTAACTACCTTTACTAAAGTTGTAAATCAAGAGTTTGATAGAAGTGGGTCCACAGAAATTTTAAATATCAAGATTTCTGCTCTTTGCTTCATAAAGTACAGGGTCTATTGAGACAATGCTTCATTCTTTTCTGTTTTTACCTCCCCTATGAAGACAGGCTGAGGAAGTTGGGGCTGTTCAGCCTGGAGAAGAGAAGGTTGTGTGGAGACCTCATAGTATCCGATCAGTATCTGAAGGGCCTACAAGGGAGCCAGAGAGGGACTCTGTTAGGAACTGCAGTGATAGGACATGGGGTAATGGGTTGAAATTGAAGGAGGAGAAATTTAGGCTGTGAGGGTGGTGAGACACTGGCACAGGTTGCCCAGGGAGGTTGTGGCTGCCCCAACCCTGGCAGTGTTCAAAGCCAGGCTGGGTGAGTCCTTGAGCATCCTGGTCTGGTAGGAGATGTCCTTGCCCAGGGCAGGGGGTTGGGACTAGATGATCTGTAAGGTCCAACCCCTAAAATTCTATAATTCTATGATCCTATGAATATTGTATTCTCAAAATACTTCAAGAAGGTACAATTATTTAAAAAGCACTATTCAACTACAAGACAGGCAAATTAAAATATCAGTTATTATCTCTCAACAGATTTTACCTGATTAGTGGTGGAGTTCCTTTCATTATTTGTGGGATTACAGCAGCAACCAATATCAATAATTATGGGATTGAAGGCACTGCACCATAGTAAGTATCAACAATTATCATACAGTTTTTAGGGAAAACATATTCTTTTTCTTATGCCAATAAATGCAACTGACTTCATAAAGGGTACAGGCATGGAATTTGGGATGACATTTGTTACAAAAATTTATTCAATAATAGCCATGAAAGGGCACTGTCTTAATCTGGAGATGCTACCTCACCTGTACTAATATGACTCCATTACTGGCAATAGAATCACTTTTCATTTACAGAATTACTCTTCATTTACATCTGAATAAGTGAAAGTATATTAAAAATACCTAATGGATAGCATATTTAATGGAGCTGTTAATTAATGGAATATTTTCATTCCATTATCTACCTTGGATTGATATCCTTCAGGTGACTTAAAGCAATTTACAAATAATTATGTGAAAAAGCACAAAGGAAAAATCACTCCCCCACCTTCTCCACCTCTGTCCCTCCTTTGATAACCCATTATTTTGGATTTTCACCACCTGGAAATATTCCAATCACAATGTCTTGCAATCCTAACATAGTCCTCTTGTGTATTACTGTGTTAGTGTGCAGTAGACCTCCACAAGCTGTTCAGGCATCACATTATTATTAATTCTTGGCATGAAGCATGAAGTATCAATAAAGTACAATAAGTCTTTCCATAAAAACATAGCAGAAAGTGAATTAGACTGCAAAGTTAAATACAGTGTGTATAACAGATCAGCATGACAATGACTTGCACACTAATGGATATTTTAGTACTCTGCCAGCACTAGTACTCTGGAGGACTGTTGGTTGCTGCTTTGAGCATCAATTGTAACACATTTGAAACTGGTTATGACCTGAGCAAATAAAAAGTGGCAGCCAAGGAGATTGGTTCATATGTGAGCATTTGGCTCCTTAAAGCTATTTTTATAGGCAATTGAATTTTAAATTCTGGTAAGAAATTAGTGCATACCTTGGCTAAATGTTTGCTCTGCCTAGGGCCCAACTCATATTCATGTATTTATTCATACTTATCCAATTAGACAGTCACTTATAATCAACAGTATATTATAAGACTCTTTTATTTATGTTCATAAATTTGAAGACATTTTTCATTTTGGCACAGTTAGAGATTATACTTCTTTAATCATGTTAATACAGCAAATCAATACCTTGTACCACAGCCTGTACAGAAAACAAGGCACAGGTGAGGGATGGTCATAAGAGTGAGAAAAAGACAACTTCTAATTCACAACAGCATAATGAGTTACCTGCCTTATTAATTTTTTATAGTATTAGTACAGTAAATGTAGATGCACAAACTTGAACTTTTTTTTACAGAACTGATTTTTTAAGTGGTTCATAATGAGATTCCACCTGAAATAAGAGCATCCCAAGAGACTGTTCCACTGGGGAGCATTCCATTCTCCACTTTGCATCAAATATGCAGCACTCAAATGTACTTCAAGTATTCGTGTAGCTTTGTGCTCTCTGTTTGCCCAATTAAATATAGGTGGTAACTTACCTATCTTGCTACAGATATCTTTCGGGGAATCTTCTCATGTGCCTGTCCAACAGAAAAATATATACTCTTTGGAGTGTTTCTAAGCTCATTAATACATGTGTGTATGTTTTTGTTTAAGGTTCAGATTTTAAAAATTCAAAGTTGATATTCTGCAGTTTCTTGTGATAATACCCAGTGAGACTGCTTCTATTTAACTGAGAGGTTCTTAGCCTGGGAGAAAAAGTCATTCTGTCTTTTTTATAGTAAGTTGTGGATAATTCCTGGCTTGACAAGAATGTGATATCAGAAATTTTCTCACTGGAATTGAAGGGACTGCAACTAATCACACATGCCTAAATGAGTATGAAGTGTCACACAGTGTCACTTTTAGAGCTGGAATGGATAATGACAGATCACCTGGTCTGTCTTTTTGACCCAGTGGGAAATTAGCTATATCCAAACCATTCCTGACAGTTATTTATCTGAGGTGCTTTAAATGCTCTGATAATGGGTAGACCACACTTCATTCCAAAAGCTTATTATCCTGATTGTCCTAACATATAGGAAACTTTTTTCAAAATCTAATTTAAATCTTTCTTGCTGCTGTTTAAGCCCATTACTTCTTGTCCTAGTTCAAGAGATAAGGAAAATAACTTACTCCTCTTTCCAGAAACCCACGCAATAATTAGAATATAAGAACCTAATGGCAGCTGTATTGGCCTATACTGCCAGCTCAGTTTCCTGCCTGTAATGGTGGCTAAAAGCAGATCATAGAGAAAAGTCAAAATTGGGCAAATATTCCTTCCCCCCGACCCATGTTCTCCCAGTTTCCACCTAGGATTTCATTAGCTGGAAGGATTTTCTTCCCCCATGTTTGTTTGATCAGATCATTCATCCTTAGGATAGTCCTATTAGACTCATATTGGCCTGTGAACTACTTTCAGCTGCTCTAAAAAAGTTATGATTATATTATTTAAAGCCTAGCAAAGTGATTATGCTACAATATTATTATACTACCAGTGTATCACGAAGAGACCATCAATTCCCTTAATTTTTCTAGAGGACATTCAAATTCATTTAAATTACCTCCCAGGAACCTTAGAAACAGTGCAGAATTCAGAAATGGCATATATCTTTTGGGTCCACTCACTACAGAAAGCAGTGACTGTTCAATTGGAAGTCTTTTTTCAGCCTTTCTTGGTATTCAGGCTAGACTCTACTTTGGCAAGAAAAATTCTTTAAGAACAATCTTCAGGCTGAAGAATTCATATCAATGTTTATTGATATAAACCACGGAAATCTGTTCATTTCTGTTCCTCACACAGACTGTATAAGCTATGCCTCATTTTCTTTTTAATCATAGTATTAGCACTGACATTTTTAATAGCAAAAAAAAGGGTTGACATAAATGGTCTCATAAGTCACTGCAATTCCAGAGTCTAAATGGACCTACATTTCTTGGAAAGTTTCAGTTTTAATATTCTGTAAATTATACTACACATTTTATTCTGTTAAAAAATAAGAAAGTGATGCCTCAGCTTACTTGATACTAAACACACTCCCTTTCTCCACAACAAGCATATCTGAACTTCTGCAATACTGTTTTGTCACACTAATCAGACATCAGTCAGTTGTTGATCACATTTAATGTGGGCTATGAAATGTTCTTGACTCTCTTTTTTTGTTGTTTTCAGTTGCTGGATGGCATGGGAGCCTAGTCTCGGTGCTTTTTATGGGCCAGTAGCATTCATTGTGCTAGTCACCTGTGTTTACTTTCTCTGCACATATGTGCAACTGAAGCGCCATCCTGAACGCAAGTATGAGTTAAAGGTTGTTGATCACATTTAATGTGGGCTATGAAATGTTCTTGACTCTCTTTTTTTGTTGTTTTCAGTTGCTGGATGGCATGGGAGCCTAGTCTCGGTGCTTTTTATGGGCCAGTAGCATTCATTGTGCTAGTCACCTGTGTTTACTTTCTCTGCACATATGTGCAACTGAAGCGCCATCCTGAACGCAAGTATGAGTTAAAGGAAAAGACAGAAACAGAGAATGTGCCGAGTATTGACATGGGCCATGGTCATATTACAGACCCTGTGTCTGTTCCCCAGGCAACCTGTCCCATGATTTCTTCCTCGTTATTGGAAAATGAGCATTCATTTAAGGCTCAGCTTCGAGCCGCAGCATTCACTTTGTTCCTGTTTACTGCCACTTGGACCTTTGGAGCACTTGCAGTATCTCAAGGCCATTTCTTGGATATGATATTTAGCTGTCTTTATGGAGCCTTCTGTGTGACCTTGGGGCTTTTCATCCTGATCCATCACTGTGCAAAACGAGATGATGTGTGGCATTGTTGGTGGTCCTGTTGCCCATCTAGAAGAAACACCTATTCTGTCCAAGTTAATGTGCGCCCAAAGGTTAATGTCAATGGTGACACTCAAGTTCATGCACCTTGTCTTCAGGAATCCCCACATCCCAACAAATCAGCTGTGTTTAATCATCCGGCGGCTAGCCACTGCAAACTTACTAACCTACAAGCAGTTCAAAACCATGTTAACTGCCTTTCACCCGTGACACCATGTTGTGCAAAAATGCACTGTGATCAGCTGCTTGATGATGAAGCTCACATTCACGTCCACAGCGAGGGAACCTTCAGACCCAACATGCACATTCATAGATGTCTGAAAAGCAGAACTAAGCCACATTATTTCAGTCGGCATAGGTCTGCAGGTGAAAGAGAGTATGCCTATCACATCCCTTCGAGTATTGATGGCAGCATCCACAGTTCACATACAGACAGTCCCCACAGTACGCATGATAGCCAGTCAGGTCACAGACGAGCCTGCTGCTCAAAAAGTGATCCATATCCTACTGTCAACCAGCCTGAAAGTAGCGACGCAAGTACTGTAATATATAGTTGTGCTAAAATGCCAGAAAGTGACACTTTGCACCATCCAGCTCATTTTGAAATGCATCCACGGACACAGTCATTGCCATTTAATACAACAAATCACAATGGAATTCTCAAGGGAAATGTGCATGAAGCCATGATATACAGCTCAGATAGTACAGGAAATATCAAAACTGGCCCTTGGAAAAATGAAACTACTGTGTAGTTCATGGGCCATCATAGTGGTTTTTTCCCTAAACCATCATTATCTTTGTTTTTATTCCAAAATAAATAAGATGATGTGTTTGTGTACTCATCAGTAAATTGTACAGCTTTTCACGTTTATTTCCTTTTTCTTAATAAGAGTCTAAAAAAGAGGGACAGTGAGAGTTTTAAAGTGAAGTTATTTTTAAAAGAAAGTTATACAATTATTCTGAAAGATAATGAGAAAATGAAGTCTAGACAATTGAATATGAGAGGCAATATCCTTTTGTTATACAGAACATTTCTTTAAAAACACATCATTTTCATTCATCTTTTTCACTTTTGTTCTGTAGTAACTTCAGACACTTTTTATAAACGTATCAGCATCCTAAACTTTTACTTATTTATTTTTGTAGAAAAGTATTATTACTGTGCCATGGATTTTAATCAAAAGCGGCTATGGTAGAAATTATAAACAGGATTTTATAAAATTGCAGCTTTTTAGATCTACAAAAGTGATACTGCCTCTAAAATTCTTCTGTAGCATATGGCCTGTAAAGTTGTGTAATGTACAGTCTCTGTTCTGTCCTTTTCCTTGTTGGAGAGAAGTGCTAGGTAATGTCTCTGTTACATCTATGGTGCTGTATTGGTTGTATTGTGCATGACATGTGTCAGGATATACCATTTGCTGTTTTCTAGTGTTACATGTGTGAAAAAAAAGAAAAAAAAAAGTGTTGTACAAGGCTGTGAAAACCCCTATTGATAGTAATCTAGAGCATTATAAATCTACAGGAAAAAAAATCACTCTGCACTAGTTTAAGTGGCACAATCCTTTGCATAAGGTTATAAGATAGCTTTGATAAGGGTCCACTCTAATGTCTTTTCAGAGCATGCACTACTCATTGTATGTGACACTGTGCGGTGTAATAGCAATTGTCTCAACAAGTTTTCTACTTCTTTGTAAAGTATGCCTTTTGAACAAATCTGTAAGCTGTTTCACGATAACCTTTCCACATCTGTTAAGGTAGAGCAGGTTTATCATTAACTCTTTGAGGACTACAGTTATTTTCTTAAAGTAGCTTATTCTAGTTCAGAGACACTTGAATATATAATATTGTCTATTTAGTTACAGGATCAGTGTAGTCCAGAGTTGTCAGGAAAGGGAAGTTCAGTGATTTTCAAAAAAACACACCTTCTTAGAGTCCATCTATTAATTTCACCACTTGCTTTCTGCAAACCTGTTTCCTCCCCTAGCAAATTTCAGATTGTCTTCATCCTTTAATGCAAATTTGACCTTCAGAGAAGTTCTTTATGTTCATGATTTCTGCTGAATTGTAGGGCATTCCAGGGTCAGTACTGTTCTCTATTAACAAGGCTCTTGGCAAGAAATTTTTTCATGTTTCCATGAACATCTGGACACAAAGCATCCACTCAGTACAGGGCTGCATGATAATTATCCCTATATGAAATAAAAATGCTTTTTACAAATAGGAAGGGTGCAGAATAATAATAGATTGCAGAAAGTGAATGGGAGCATAGAGCTGTGAGAAAAATGTCTACAGTGGAAAGTGAGCAGTGCATCCAGAAGTGAGAGAAAAAGCACAATTCTGTGTGGCCATATGAGAAGGTTTGCTGTGATGTCTTAACACAGAATTACGTAATTGCTGCAGAGAGGAAATAGAAAATTCCCTTAAAAGATCATCAGTCTGTGATTCTCTGTGTATATGTGGCAGAAATCTTCATATACTTCAGCCCATTATTTTTCTGTTATTAGCAGTTTATTAGACTCTACCTTTTTTTTTTTATATATAGGAATACATTTCCTAATAGTGTACATAGAGATGACAGTTATAATTGTTAGAATGTTACAAAAACATGTGTCAGATGAATGTGTTCTGCAGTGTTGCAGGTGGGAATTAGTACTCAAAGGGTTAATGCTCAGTATCTGAGTGCGAGAAATCTTGTTTTTCTGTATTTTTGTAAAATTTAAATATATATTGTAAACTCCAGCAGTGCAATGTATCCATCTCAGATTGTGTATTTTTAAAAGGTAAGAAGAATGCACTAGGTGGTTGTCAAGTTTTAAGCCAATATTCAAGTTTCATGACTGCTTCTTTAATGAAACAAAAAAAAAAAAGAAACACCTGAGCTTTATTATGTATATGCTGTATATGCTTGAACTGTCTCTAAACTAAAATACAGTACTTTCCTTTGTTTGCATAATGAAATACTTTCTGTTTCATAATTGTTTTCTTTTAATATTACTTTTACTCATTCCACATAGGCAGTGAGCCCTAAACAAGCATAGACAGGATGTGAAATGCCACTTCTCTGTGTCTCAGCACTATGTATATGTATATTCTGTCATAGCAAAATCCTACAAGGTCAGTAGACCATTATGCAAAATACTACACACACATACACACACAGAGCCAAGTAAAATACTCACTCTGCAAGAATCCACTTGGTAAGCCTCTTTATTCAGCCTGTGTTTTAATCACCTCTGTTACTTTGTCTGAGAGGCCAGTTCCATCTTCATAATGGCTTACAAGGAAGTAAATAGGTGCTGCTTTCCACAGAATCTCTTATGTGATAAAACTATCTGGAATTTGAACGTAAAATATTAAAACACTTTTCTTATCATGTTAAAAATTAATTTAGTGAATATTTCTGGGCTAATTTGGAAGATAAGTGTTATGCAATAATCTGTTTGCATATTATTTTTTCAGAAAATATACAGTATAACTACAGAGTAGGAGACATGATATTAAATAAATATTAAAATGTTTTGTAACATCAACTTTGACCAAAATGCTTTTTGTGCTCTTGACTTTTTTTTTCCCCTTAAGATAAATGAGACAATTTCAATGCTTTGGGAGTCTGGCTTTGATTTATCATGGGGTTTTGGTCAATTATAGTTAGTGAAGCATTACTACTTTAACTGATTTTCTTCCCTGTAAAAATAAAGTCACTTAATAACCAGAGTATAGGAGAGATACTGTCCTAGCAAATTTCTCATGGACATATATACGTAACGTGTCAAAGTCAGCTTTAGTTTGGGTGATTCGTTGATGACATAAAAATGACCGAACGGATTTTTCTATTCACTTTCTGTCTGAGATTAAGCAAGAGAAATTTCATTTTAAAAATATACAATTTTTGGAGAATGATGCAATCAACAGAAATCTGAAGAGTTGTTATTACAGTCCTATCGTGATAAAAATATGCTCTTGCTGTAGCGTTGTTCTCAGCAGATACAAATTCCAATTTTCATGACCAAATTTCAGATCATGTGACTCTATTTTAAGTCACATAGACTGTGTTTACAAGGAGAATTCCTACCCAGCCTCATATAAAGAATTTTGGTGTAAAAATAAGGCATACATCTGATCATGTGTGCTATTCCCAAGAATCCTGTTGATTGTGTCTGCACTAATATGACTGAGGAGTCATTGTCAATGGCCAAAAACTATTCTGCACCACACAGCTGCCTGCCAGCTACCCTGTGGGCACCGTATCCAGATGTTAACCCAGCGAGGGAGCCTTCACCACAGCTATAAAGCATTCTTCCCATCTACACCAAAAGCAAAGTCTGTGCTTAAAGCAAAGTCAAGGCCACCTTTGATAGACAACAGAGGCAACTGGGCACCCTCCACTCAAACACTCAGGGCAGATGGCAGATAAACATAATGGAAGTGTCTTCAAACAGTTTAACTCCTCCTCCCTCCAGCTCTCTGCCAAAAGGACCTGCCTACTATGTTTGCTGCCTACAGACATCTGCCAAATTCAAACAAATTCAAGCAAAATTAGTCAGTTTACCTAAAATTCCTGGTTAACTGAAAACTGAAGTGAGTGAAACAGTACAACCTAGTTAATGGTCAGAAAAGCCCAAATGGGAGAAAACCTCTTTAGATGCTCTGTCACAAAGCTGCTTCAGGTTCATCATGTGTGGGGACACGGATCTAAGTATCCTGGATGCCTGAAGAAGATCTGAAATTGCTCTTATGCAGACATAAGTAAGGCTTACAAAGCTGATTGTGATTCCACAAATTTGGAGGCACTTCCACTGTCAATTATATGCCTTTTTTACAATGAAGGGATTATCTGACAGGGAAGGCTTGTCCATTTCACTATTTGGGAAAAAGAAAACTGTCATCAGGATCAGGTTGGTAACCCTTCTAACATAGGATCTTCTTTGCATGGAAACAAGGAAAAGGAGACCACCTGTTACTCTCTCTGAGTTTGTGTTGCCTATGAAAAGAAATGTCAGGCTGATGAAGACATACATTAGCAACTCAGCAGCTTCCTTAGCAGAAGATAAGTTCATAAATTCATGCTCCTGTACCAGCATCCTCCAGTTCAGAAAGAAGCTGCAGAACACAGCTGGATCAATCAGAATTCATCAGCTGAGTTTAAAAGATGGCTGAGTGGCTTCAGTTAAGTAATTTCAGTAGTGGTGCTCTAGGTAGCTTCTGCTTGCTTAGTTAATTGTACAAGGAAGGGAGCTTTTGGTTTGGTTGTTTGGGGCAGGGTGGGGGTGGGTTTGCTGTGCCCAGCTGGCCACTTTCTAATTAGCCATTGAATTGCTAAGAAGAAATCTTACTGTGCCATTACCTTGACTACCTAAACCATGGCTTTTTGTTCCCTGCCTGTGAAGATGCAAACAAATCCTTATTCCTTTACTTGACCAGTCTATTACCTGATTTTTTCAGGAGCCAAACAAGCAAGTGTCAGTGAATTCAGGACAGTATTATAGGGTTCACTTCTCTGCAAGGAGGACTGAAATTTGGTTTGCAAGCTCTAGAGTAATTCAACCTCAAACAAATATCCTGCCTGGAAGTTGTGCAGCTGGCCATGCCTCAGAGTTAAGGGGATTTTTTGTAAACATGGTGTCTGCATACCCCATAGGTACTACTGTCTCTTTACATTTTGATCTGTTTGAATTCTGTAGTGCCTTGCAGTCTGAACAACAAAATGACTGACTGTTCCCATCAGCCCATCACTCTGCTCCAGCTGTTCGCC